TTTTATTTTGAAGATTTTTTTTCACTCAATAGTGTCAAAATTTTGTTTGTCAACACTAGTGTCCAATTTATCATTTTGGACTCTAGAGTATGATTTTTGATTATGGACACTAGTGTCCGATTTTTTATTTTATCTTATTTGGTCACTGATCGTTTCGTACCCAGTCAGTTGAGTCGTTGCGTACCCTGCTCGGTCGTTTCCAAAGTAATAAACTTAGTTTTCCATGTTAACAATTGGAGAAAAGACATCGCATCTACAAGAGCTGTCTAACAAAAAAGTCAGTAGTATAAATAATAGACAAACCCTAACCTTAAAATGCTACACTTCCGCAGGGCAATACTTAAATTGTTTTTGTTAAGAAGGTCTCAAATATACTGACAGGAGAACTTTGTTTTTATCTTACTCGGTTGACTTCACCAACTTGTCCTTCGCAACGATTGATATCTGTTCACGCGCTCGTGCGTGAGGTATTTCGGAAAAATGAATGATTTGACTAGCGGTTTGGGTACAAACCGACTCAAACTTGGGTACGAACCGATCCAAACCTGGTTGCAATCGACCGCATTTTGGTTCGAAACGACCTGATACTGAGGGCTTACGCTCCAGTAGGACCTAGTCCTTCCCTGTCCCACAGAACATATCTGAAAGACGCGAAAGAACTGGTAACGAAAGAAAATGTAACATGGCGGTCGAAGTCTTGAAATTTCAACTTTGACTATTGGTTTTATCTTCAAGCTAGGGCTAAGTACGCGTATGAGTGTATCATCTTTGATATTACTTATGGCACGTTTAATGCGAAAAAACACCGGATAAAGTGGCTGCCAAACGTTCAAAAGAAGAACATGTGGACAAGAAACGGAATGCAAATAATGCCAAACAACAACTACGTAAGGTAGGTTTGTCCAATTGATTAACTGTTTTCTCTAAGTCTGTACGAGTAACTGGTGATAGTACCTGTAGTGTACCCGGCCACTTCATCGCCGCTCGATGTTATAATTGTTGGCGTCTCACTTGTTTAATTATTGGACAACGTACAAATGAGTGCACATGGAAGGGTATTTTTATGTGGTGTTGATCATGGATTTAAAAGAGTCGAATGGAATCCCCTTTGGAAACGTTTCTGGCGTTGTTTAATACTTACATCACGAATTAAAGATTTATAATGATGATATATGATGATCTATGATGATTTTATGATGGTGAGGTAGTAATAATTAACAGTGATACTTAAAGTTTTTTTATAATGAAATCTCAGCAAAAATTCATCAAAAATAATTTTTTTTGTTGTTGTCAATTTGATAAAAGAAATCTTTCTTTCCAAAGTCACTGTCTGGAGCTAAACACCACTCTAATCACTTTTATATGAGATTTACTGGAGTTTTATACCTTGCTTTCATCAAACGAAATCAAACGGTTCGATTTACAACAAATTTTATTCAAGGTTACAGCCTTAGGACTCTTTCTAAAGTCCTGTATGATCAGGCACATTGTTTAGAGAGGGCCTGTACTTGGGCCAAATTTTTTAAAATTTTTTTGCTCTTTCACCTGGGCAAACATAATTTTTTTTATATCTACAGTTTGGTAAA